GTTTGGATAGGCCATGATGCCCATATTCTTTTATTTTTTATCACCAATAAATAACAAAAAGATGTGTAAAAATTATTAAAAAGTTGATAGTTGATACGTTAATAATATGACCAATAGATAATATGTTTTGTTGAAATTTTCTAGACTTTGTTTCTAATTTTATAAATAAAAATCAATATTTGATTAGTTTTTGTTTTATTATTTAAAATAGAAATTAGAAGGAAAATAATTAAGCATACTGGTAAGTCAAATTTATAAACCTTTAAAAGGCTTATAAGGACGGACAGTATTAAAAGCAGACTTCGACAGGTGGATGTCGGTACCAGCGGTACTGCCAAGACGACAATTCCGAAAGGAAAGAAAGACCGCAAGCTTGGTCTTTAGCGGGTTGTAGAACTCATAAACGTTGTTGGCTTTTGCTTGCATTTTCATTTTCTTACTCTTTAGTCATTGACCCAGTCAAATAGTCATAAATATTATTTTATTTTTAATTTTTAACTTCTTGCCTAAATTAACCCTTCCATTCAACTATCCATTTTCTTTCCACTATCTCAATTACATTCTATTTTATTCAATTCGATTCCACACCTCTTTAATTCCCCTTAATGGATTCCCATGGAAAATCCAAATAAGTCGGTTCTAGCCAAATACGCAAATCTAAATAAGACGGTTCTAGTTAACATATTATATTTTCTGCTCCGGAATCCCAAAACCCAAACTATCAACAATACAAAAAATACTAAAAAAAATATTATCCGGTGCAACAACCCTACAACACATTCCGTCTTCCACAGAGAAATCTAGGTTATAATCAATACATGTAGTTTACTCAAACGGCTCTGAAAACCGATTACAATATTCTCTTCATGACAAATTACAACAAATATGGTTGAGAGTTTAGAATGTCATGTTGTCTTTTTTACTGTGTTTATTTTAGTATCATATCTTTTTTTTTTTCGTGTATTTTTTTATTTGAATTAGTTTTTTTAATTAAAAAATGTTATAACTACTTTATTTTTAATTTTCTAGTCTAATTTAATAATAGTAATGATGTCCCAAGTGGATTGAAAAGATATTTTGTATAGTTGTAAGTTGGAAAATATAAAAGATAGGAGAGAAAAACTTATATGGAGTTCTGACAAATGACTTGAATGGGTCGGAAGAAGTGGACCTTAAATAGGGGTGTAAACGAGCCGAGCCGAGCCCGAGCCTGACCAAGCTCGAGCTCGGCTCGTTTAGTTTTGAGGAAGCTCGAGCTCGATTCGAGCCTTAAACTGAAGCTCGAGCTCGGCACGTGAACAATTTAGTGGGCTCGCAAGCCTAACCGAGCTTAAACGGGC